AATAAGATATATTACTTTTCTTCGTTTAGATTCATTAAAGGATTTATTTTCCGGAGAATTTGTTTTATTCAATGGCTATATTCAATATCACATTCTTTTTTTCGAGAAATTTTTATATTTGCCTGTTATGGAAATGTTGATTGATACTTTAAATCTATGATTTCGTTTTTTATCCTTTGTCAAACTATTTCACTCTCTTTGAGCGTATATCGCAATTCCTTGAGAACTACACGTACTTTGTAATTATTGGTAAGATGTATTTTTTGTATTTCTTTGCCTACTGAGCATTTTGTCGCGCAGCTCGCTAGATTATGTTAACGCTTCATTGGCTTCTTAAGTAAACCTCGTGTTTTCTATATCGTTTTTCGAATTCTGCTATTGCTTGATTGTTCATTTTAATTTGTTGTTGAGAAGTGTGCATACACACTACCGTTCCTCGGCGAATCCTCTACCGTATTTACGATTGTTAGAGGTAGGCTTTGTGGAGACCTACATAGTCTTGCAAATAGATATTCTTAAATAAGACCAAGTCGGAGGTAATGCTGAGGTTGTCACGATTACGAGAAAGCAAAAAGCTCTCGATATCGCTCAGAATCACATAAAATTTCGTGCATAGCATACAAGAAGTATTACTTTTTAATTAAACCGTGAAAAGTTTATTTTGAAAATTGCAAAACCTTGCGAAACTATCTTGGGTTTCGTATAAAATAAACTAAACCTTTAAACAGATTGGAAAATATTGAAAAGTTTGGCAGAAATAACACAAAACCTTAGAAACCTCTACGGAACTATTAGTCATTTCGTAGAAAAATTCCAAACCGTTCTTGAGTTTACGAAACCATCAAGGTGTTCGTATAAAGTATACTAAACCATTCTACAATTTTCGGATCCATCAGCAGTTCCGTATAAAAGATACGAAACTTTGAAGCCAACTCGAAGGTGTCTAAAAGTTTCGCACAAATAATGCGAAACCTTTTAAACTTCTACGAAACTATCAATCATTTTGCAGAAAATATTCAAAACCTTTACATATGTGACGAAACCATCAAGGGTTTTGTCGACATAATTCGAAACCTTCTTCGATGTTACGAAACTATCAGAGGATTTGCACTTGATCTACGAAACCAAAAAGAATTTTACGGAACATGTAAGTAGTTCCGGAGCTGAATTGCAAACTTTTTGATATCTGCTGAACTTAAAATACTTCTGAAAGCAAACCACGAAACGCTTTGCGGTCCACGGAACTTAAAATCGTTTGGTGCAGAAATGCGGAACTATTAAGGTTCGGTAGAGTACCGATTTTTTTTAGAGTACAAGACTCCATAAATAATGTAGAAAAACTAACTGAAGCTTTCATGANCCCGAAAAATCTCCGGAATTTCGGGCCGGGCCGAAAGTCCGGCCCGAAAATTCCGTGGGCCGAAATTCCGGTCTCCCAAGACAATCTCCCTCGCACAAGAAATATTTCTTGACTTTAACAACAGCATTCGTCCAGTAGAAAAAATTAAACCCAATACCAATCAAAATTTGCTGTTTTCTTTTTAAAAAATCGGCTATGCACCATGCCAATACTGAATGAAAGAAAAATACATCTCGCTGTGCAAGAAGACATCGATTCATACAGGTTTCTCGTTCAGTTACAGCTTCTCTTTGCATTTCAATTTTGATTCGTTTTTTTTTCTTCAATAGAGGTGTATCGTCTCTATTCAACATTCACCATCTTGGCAGGGTAAAAATTTGATTGTTAAACTTTATTTTATAAAGTTGCATTTTGACTAAAACGAAGTACTTTTTTGAGATGTGGCCGGGGTTCTAAGAGTTCAGAACTCTTCAAAGAAGTCACCATTAGGTATTAGCGGCTTAGTACAAGTGATTGAACTCTTAGAACTCTAGAAACCCTAGCAACCACAGCAACCTGAGAACTCCAGAACTGTTTGGAATACACGGATCAATTGTGATTCATTGGTTTTCGAGAACTATTTAATTTTGAGGTCGGATGGAAATCTAGTAACTTCACTGATTGTTTGAAGTACCAAGATACACGCGAGAAAAAGAGGTTAACAACTGAAACTTTTAAAGTTCCACACAAGTGAGGACACCTAAAATGATTCCTATCCTGTATGCGCACCTTGAAGCTTTTAAACGAAACATTTTAAAGATCGGTGAGATTCAAAAAGTTTCAATAGGAACAGAATTTGTTGTTGAACTAACACATATTTTTGGTAGTCAATTTTGAATGCAAGTTCAATGACGAGATTTTCCGGCTGCATCCTCCTGTTTACCAACATTAGCCACCAGACACAGACGTCCGCCATTCGAAACATAGCTAATATGAAATTCCCTGCTTGTAGAATAACAGTAAGGCAAGAAATTCTTGTAGAAACCTTTTTCTATTAATCTATTTTCTGTAGTTCAAAGACTCTAAAGAATATATTTCAGTTCCATATTTAAGCCCCAATGAAGCTACGCGGATGAGATTTTTTTACAGTTTGTAAGAATGTTGGTGAAGTTAAATTGACGTACCATTACACCATCAATCTAGTGTTTGATGGGATATTCGCTTTCAAAACTTGAAACGATCAGGTTTCTGACAAAATGTAGATGACTTTGGAGCAATCTCACACTCGACGTTCTAACATATTTTTATCCATTGACTTTGTTTTTCCTAAGTGCATGGGCCCTTTTATGCGAAACCATCTCAACATCGGTCATTTCGACTAGGCTTGAGATATTTAATGAGCTTTTCCATTTAGAATGTAGTTATGTTCAACTGATACCGGCGACTTACCACACGTCATGATTCTCGATGCATCACGAGCATTTAACAATTACATGTCTTATGTCAATTTTCACTGAAACTGCAAACTTTCTCAGGAAAGTATGTACAGGATACATGGCGCACATGCGGAATTAGGTATATTGGGTGTAGGAAGTACAACACCAATACTGGCAATTGCCTTCTTCACCTACATCTGCAGAGAGATCCCGTTACTGTCAAGTCTGAACCATCCGTCAGCCCGTGTATGCCGTTTGTTCTTCCACGCGCGCTGAGACAAACATCCCAACTGACACCCTTACACCCTCGATCAGAGATACATCCCCCGCTGCCACGTCTACGCCCTGATTGGGACATACGCCCCACTACCACGCCTGCACATTTGCTGAGAGATACTCCCCCACTAGTACGATTATGCCTACACCCGCAAATACAATATTTTCAATTTACATGTCTGGTTGCAGTAACCAACACTAACTCTCAATTTTCAGAATACAAGTTTGAGTTAAATTAAGTATATTTTAAACTTCGAATTTCGATATTATATTATACTTTTTAGATATAGAACTGTGTCTCCGATTTCAAAGAAACGCTTTCTTTTATAAAAAAAAAGGAAACAGTTTTCATATGAATAGCTTTGATTTATTCAAAAATATCCCTAATTAAAAAATCCATTTTGCGTAAAACCCATTTTAAGCTAAAAGTTCAACTCGCATTTTTTAGTTTTTTATTTAAACGGAAAGTATATCAGCTATACCGTTCACATTAAGTAACGTGGAAGTACCGCTCCATCCAAGGATCTACACATCCCTACGATCTTCAATCGCGATAGCAACCACAGGGAATCCAGCAACATCGACCCTTGAGTAATGTTAAAGCAAAACGTTTTGAAACCAATAGAAGTGTTCAGAAAGAACGCCCTAAGGGAGCCTGCTAAACAATTTTTTCTTTTAATATGTACTACCTGAATTATAACACACATCATGGAAAGTCACGATACGGATCATGGTATTTTTACTATCACCATGGGACATCACCTAACTATCAGCCAAATATCTCGCTATCTAGAGCCACACAGCTTACTCACGAAATTCTTCGCCCCCACGAAAAATATTCAAATCCGTTATTGATAATAAACGCAATCTGGGCACTTATAGATTTCCCGACTTAACTTTCAGCAGCCTGAATTTTTTTCCTCGAAAATGTTTTAAAACAATACTATATGCATATATGCTCAGCAGCTGACAAATTTCTTAGGGTTTCAAGAGTTCTTAGAGTTCTATAGTTCCTAGAGCTCTTACAGTTACTACAGTTCGACTACATGAATTATTCGTATGCCGTTGCGATTTTTAGAGTTCAGGGTTCTTGCAGAGTTCTGAACTCTTAGAACCCGGCCACTGCTGAAAATCCACATTAAAATCCGATCGATTTCTGTCGGACCCGATAGAATCTGATTATCAGAATGATCATCCTCGACCGTTGTTCATCGTCTTTACTGAATTTTTCACTTTCAAATTTCGAGTTCCTTATGAATGCAATGAAAGGTATTTTCTGTAATATTTAAAAATATGCCGCTATATTTAACTAGATCAAATGCTGTGAAAATAATGAAGACTGCTTATATTACCCTTGCAATAGCTTAAATCACTTTTAACGAGAATTTATAGTAAGCTTCTAAATTGACTCTCATGAAAGAACAATACAAAGGTGATCTAGTGGAAGAGTTTGACTATTCTACCATTATGAATTCACACACTCACAGGTAGAGCCATTCTCGAATAAATTTCTGTATTTTGCGCACATTTGAGGTCGTTCGAGCGTAAATATTATTAATTCCGTTAGAATTGGTAACTTTCTTTTCTATATAACAATAAAAACACACCGTAGATAACGTGCTTGAAATCTCGTACCAAACTGATTCAACAGCCAAGAATCTCAAAATGATGAAACTTCCAGCTTTTATTATCATATTCTGCTATCTATATCACTTTTGCAACTGTGGAACACTTCCAGCTGCATAACAAGCTGAACAAACACTTATAACAACATTAATGAGTAGATATAATAAAAACATAAGGCCTGACACCCAAATTTCTGTTGATATTACTGCTTCGATACAACAGATCGTTGCTATTGATGAAAAACAACAAATAATGACATCAACTTCGTTTATTTCTCAAACGTGATATGATGATCTGTTAGTACGTTGTGGATACCAGATACGATGATAGTGAATTCAGCAGATGCAAGTGGCTATCTCACAGTAAATACCTATAGTTTGGCATCTGTTAACTACTCGGGCCAAGTTTATATGATACTACCAGCTCTAGCGGTCAAAACAAGATGTAACTTCAATGTTAAAAATTTCCCATTTGATAAACAGATGTGTAGCATAAATCTAACATCATGGAGTCAAGGAATCAATCGAGTCTTATATACAGAAGACAAAAGCTTAGTGGTTGATTCCAGTGAATATAGTGAACATCCTTTGTGGGCATTGAATGGAACAGATTTGGCTATAATTCGTACAGAAGACAGGTCACCTTTTGAAGATACTTCCAATGATGTTCTAGCGATACAACTGTATCTAGAAAAAAAACCATTATATTTTATGATGAGTGGCATATTTGCAGGTTTGGTTTTAAACTGTGTTACTCTTCTAGCCTATACACTACCTTATGGATCACAAATTGGTCTATGTCAGATATTTTTTAACATTATAAGTAACTTTTATAAGTAAATATTGCACTCATCGTTTAGGTATGACATGCTTCATGGCGTATTCTGTTTATTCCTTGAATTTTTCCAGTCTATTTCCACAACAATCTCAATATGTAGTGCTAATCACATTTTTCTTTTTACTTACAATGTGTTTTACATTAATATCGATGATATGGTTTATCATATGTAATCAGTTTGCCTCGAAATCTGAAATCCCAGCACCGTTGTACAGCTTTTCTGGAAAATTGCAAAAATTGCTTTGGTGTTTTCCCGCACCAAAAGAAGAGAAGAAGCCGGATAAAATGGAGAAGGTTGTTGTTGAGAATTTTGATGTTAAAAAGCCAACAATGTTCGAAAATATGAAATGTGTGTCTTGCCAGAAACTATTTAGTTCGTGTCTTCATAGGCAAACTAGAGTTGAAAATTTGGACGAAAAAGCGGACATCAAAGTCGATAAAGTTGAATCTAATACAAACCAACCAATTGAAGTTACGGCAATTGAAACAACAACAGATGCGAAGGTTGATGAGACAAACGAGACAACAAAACCAAAATGTAACTTTTGCAACAGATGCGAGACGTATCAAGCTGATTTTGATTTTGATAAAGCAAAAGGCAATACCAAAAAAGACATTGAAGCTAGATGCAGTGCTTTAAACTATTTCTTCTTCAGTTGTATGTTATTATTCATGTTTCTTTCCAATATGAATTTATGGCTCTACATGTCAAGTTGATTGGGTTTCGCGTTTTTCTTTGACTACAGTATTTTTATTTACTGCGATAAATCCTATGACAAAATAATTGCTCAACCTTTACGAAAATAAAATATGATTTAATTGTGTGTTAAAAAATAGCTACTGTTGGTCCAGTTAAGACGTGAAAGAGCAATGGCTTTTTTCATTCTGAAGGATTATATTTAATTGCTTGAAATCTGCTATTTTGCATGAAGCCCTATTTCTATCATGATCGACATGAAGATACCATGACAACTAATCAGGTGCTAGAAAGAAGTAGCCAATAGTGAAACAGGTGTACGACACCAATGTTACTCTTACAACTATCCAAAATTTTCTTAATACTCGACCTGGTAAACAACAAGAGTGCTAAAAGAAATTAGAAAAGTCTCATCAGATGTTGATTCTGAAGAAATGACCCATCCATATGACGTGTACTGAGCCTTCAAAGTAGAGAAACTTGGTAAAAGTAAAGCTTAACGCGCATTCATCAATTCCTCGAAGATAATCATATCCGAAAGTTACAAATAGACTTTTTAGATAAAGAAGGTCAGCCTACATCGAATAGTTTGTATAAAATTCCCTGAACTCACTCGAATAATGTTCAACCAGTTTTTCTTTTCATAAAACTAGATTGGTGAGAAAAGCATTGGTTAGAAAATAAATTTCTACGTCTTTGAGACTTCTCTAGATTCATTTGGCATGTTTGAATGATTGTTGGGTAACATATTCTTTCTGAATTAGGCTTTGGTTGTGTTGGCCCTTTATTGTAAATCCAATCTTCTCAGTCAATAGTAAATCCATGAATGGTACAGATGTCATTTGATAGAGCATTAGCTCCTCTATATATGACACATGTTTTGAAAGATCGTGAATGTTTAAATTATTAACGAACAGTTGCTTCTGATACATAACAATACTCTTTGATTGTGATGTATTTAATCAAGGCAAGCGTTCTTCTGAGATCTCTCGTTGATAGATCGAAGCTATAAAAGTAAGCACATTTTTTTATGGTCCTCAAAATTTTAGACTTGATGCTTTAAGAACGGATGAAAATTTTAACTACGATTGATTTTCGATCGTTAAACGTTTTATTTGTGGTGAATTTTCGTGCAAGATAAGTAATAAAGAAAAAGGGCTGTAAATTATTCTATTACAATAGCACTTCTCATTTGGCTGGTAGATTTAATTATGTGCAAATGTTTTTCCTCTATGGTGGCGTTTATGTACTTTCCAGTGTTCGATAACAGACATCCTTTTAGATAGCTAATGAGAGAATGATGATGTACTCCGTCATGAGTCACTAATGGACGTGTCAGAAAGTTCCCTCTACTGAAAGGAGAGCCTTACGCCGAAATGAGTTGTTTCGTTTGTTCGTTCATTCGTTCGTCCAATAGGAAAGCAGATGAATAAACTTAACTAACCTCAAACAATATCTGTACGGATAGGTTAGACCGAAGGTAATCAGGGTCGGAGAACACGATGGCGTTGCTAGTTTTTTGAAATTTTGTAGTTCAAGCAAGTTTATAATGGATTAGGAGCAGTTTAGATCATTGCATTTTCGTGATAAGAATTCTTTGTAGGGAAATTTTTTGAGGGTACTAGCCGATGATGTTTATAGTTTTAGATGTATCGTATGGTTATGTGAGATTTTATTATGAATAGGCTATAGGCATCTTGCGGTAGAATTGATTCTCAATTTGGCAACGGCTAGTCATGAGTGGCGCTCCGGAGGGGCGCCGACGAACGACTAGCCGCTCAGTTAAAAATTTGTTGTAATTATAAAACTACAGGCCTTGCAGACTGATAGAATAGTTACACGTTGTCTTGATCAGAAAAGTTGAAACAATTTTCGAAAATGGTAAATATCTTCAAGTTCTTCCGAAGAAAGATCGTGAAATAATTGCTCAACTCGTGTGAAATATTTGAAATTTATATTTGTCGCGAATATCTTAATAAGTTTAGTTTTCCTGATTGCGAGTGGATTTGATTCAAAAGATTTAAATCGTAGATTTATCTATCTGTGAACGTGCAAACTGGTATGAATATATGCATTCTAGGCGGAAAACGCACGGAAATAAAATGAACCCACATGAGGTTGAGCAAAAATGAGGACAAATCTAGCCGAAATCGAGTTAGAAAAAGTCAGTTTGATATTTGATCTATGACTTACTCATGCAGATTCATATTAAATATCTAGTTTATAAATCAATTTGAGTTGTAACTTAACTAAAATGGAGTATTTCGATCATAGCTCTCCTGAATGGGTCTTATTCTTCACTCCATTATCAAGCTGATCGAAAGTTTTTCGGAGCGTAGCTTAAGCTGTAGCAGATCGGATGCATTTAACTTCGCTATCGCCATATAGTATTAGTAAGTAGTAATTAAATGCCGTTTTCTTGGTGATACTTCCAAGTAATTTTTCTATTTATGCTCGGTTATCAATCGTGTTTTCCATGAAAATCATTTCGAAGCTATAAAATGTGCAGTCTCTCTGCTAGATAGTTTTGGATAGCTACGTTCTACATGATTGAATCCTTTTAGTAGAGGGTTGGCGACGCTAACGTCACGTTACCTTGTGATAAATGCTCAACTAAATGACATCGACTATGAATACAGAGAGAACTGGGTTAACTAGAAGTTAGCTACCAGTTGTATTGTGAAATAGACACGTGAAAATTGGTGCATACTCAAATAACTTTGTTGTGTGTTTTATTGTGCTTAACATACACGCGTTAGCAATTAGAATAAGTATATTATTATATTGTGTATTTTTATTAATTATGCAAATAAATTATCATCTTATTACAATTTGATATTATACGCCAAATTAAAGTATAATATAAGGTGTGGGTAATTCAAAATTACAGCACCTCTTCGTTTTTGCTTAAACATACACCCTTAGATTCCCATTTTCAAGCTGATCACGAATATCTACTTAGTTGTTTTTATTTGACAACATATTCGTGGAGAAGAACGCCAGATAAAAGAAGGATCTAAAAGTCAGCAAAAAGATTGCTTTTCAACAAATAACGTTTATTTCTTTCCCATTCCACTTTCCTTTCTCCCCAATCTTATTTTCGAATTCCTCATAGAAAAATGAGCCTAGCAGCAATATCTAAAGCTTTATCGGATATTACATGTTCAACCTGGCCAACGAGCATTTAGGGTCAGTCAGTTTTGTACTTGCGAATTTTGCAAACCTCTCTAGTTTTTTTTGGTGATAGATAGCGCTTGTATTCATACGTCATTGGAAGCGCCATTTGATGAGCTACAAAATCATAGCTCGATTTTTTCAATATCATTTTCCATGCTGAGAAAAGGCGTCTACAATGGCAGCATGGAAGAAACGGTCTAGTGATTTTTCAATAAAAAATACATTTCTCTTATCGAACTTGTAGAAATAAGATGGAATAGAAAAAAACGATGCAGAATTCAGTGAAGGTGGTTTCAAAGGACTATAAACTATATCCAACAGGGTTATACCAAAATTCCGAAGGAAAAAGACGAATTTTCTCAAACTTTCGTTGTACAGTGAGGTGAATGAATTGTTATGTGGCGCCATTAACAAAAATCGCAATGAATTTACTATCAAAGGGTTATTCAAACTTATCGAATTTTGAAATCATTATTCAAGGAATTCAAGATGACAAAATTAATAGAGAGCGAAGTCATTCACGCCATGTGAATTCTAGATGATCTATAGAAAGTATTACATCGAATGAAACAGAAACATTTTCAAATGATGAAGAAGAAGAAGAAGAAATTTTGATAAATCCAAATGCCGATATTGATTTTTCGAATGAATCTATATTAAATGATATCAGTGATTTTTTTTCATTTTGTAAAGAACAAATTAACCCTCATTTCATCAGCGTGCTTATACGTATATATGTCTTTACGTCATTTTGGTCATTCGTGGAGAGACGTTGAGTCATTTTAAACATCAATCGGTGGTATGACCAACAAAACATGTCACAAATGGACAAATATTTTAGTAAACAAATATTTTGATGAATTCACAATTGAAGAGAGAGGTGGAAAGAGAGGTGATTCGTTTTGTGATTGTTATCCAGATCTAGAATTAGAAGCAAAGCAATTTGTTTTTGAACAATGTTCAAAAATAGAAGCAACATTTACAGCCGGAACTTTGGCAATATTCATTGATAATCGTTTTTATGAATTAAATAATCTGAAGAAAGTCGATCAACGATTAGTCAGATCAGTCAAAAGTTGTAAATTAGATTTACGTCAATTTGGTGCAAAATTCACAGTAAATTCAAGTCAGCCCATATTTTCTTGGACATGAACGAGAAGATGCGGTGAAACATCGAAAAGAATTTGTCAAATATTTCATTCAACGAGAACAGCATTTTTATACGATTACGAATAATGCAGTGCCACAGTGGAAAACACCAACACCAACACCAACAATTTTGCTCTGTAAGCGCTTTTTTCCTTTCTTCATCCCAAAACTCGTCAATATGTTCATTTTTGCATTCCTCTGTTGTAGGTCATGATGAAAGTGCCTACAACTGTGGAGAAATTGCAGCCAAAAGATGGATTATGTCTGATAATGCACCGTTTTACAACAAAGGCAGAGGAAGAAGTATAATGTGTTCGGATTTATTAGTTATGCATCCAAGCGGACTGTTCTTTTCATTGGCCGACAAAGAATATTCAGAAGAATTGAAAAAATATTCACACTTAAATGATGATTATGGCATATGATGCGTTCGGAGAATATCCCCGGAAACTCGATTAAGTGCAGATATAACGGATATAGATATATACAGCGTATAAAGGGGGGGNCTACGGAACCAAGCCTAGCAGATATAACAGATACAGAGATATACAGTATATAGGGGTCTAGGGGAGTCTAGAGAGTCTAGGAGGTACAAGAGTTATAAGAGATTTTTTTTCTCTTTCATCTCTTACTTTTATTTAATTATAACTCAACTAAAATAAAATTTTCTTTCACAAATATTACTGATATCAAAATTTATTTGTTGAGCCTTGCTCGTTGTTTATCAATCTCCTATAACTCTTGTACCTCCTAGACTCTCTAGACTCCCCTAGACCCCCTATATACTGTATATCTCTGTATCTGTTATATCTGCTAGGCTTGGTTCCGTAGCACTTAATCGAGTTTCCGGGGATATTCTCCGAACGCATCTAATCTGCAATCTATTTTAAAGAAAACAAATAATTCAAATCATCATATACCTCATCATACAAAAGAATTTGTTTATATTTGTCAACAAAAACATAGTAAGAAAGATCATAAGAAGAAAAAAGCATATTTTTGAATTTCTCTCTTTTATTTTCTAGTATTAGAATTAAAATTAACTATTATTAAAGAAAATCAAATGAAAACAAGAAAATTTTTACATCTACTTAAATCATATACAAATAAAAGAAAGATATACGTTATAAAAAAAAAAAAATTAATTTTCATTATCATGCCATTATAATCATAGTTATCATTGATCGGGACTAGGTGATAATTGACATATCAACCAGAGACTGGACAAGTACAAGTACAGCAAGTACAAGTGAAAATACTTGTTACTTACTAATTGTGCTTTGGACTTTTACTCAAGTACAATTACTTAAGTACATTTGTACTGAGTACACTGAAAAAAAAATAAGTACTCTACGAAACTTAAAAAGGTTCCGAGATTTGCAACGAATTTGAAACCCTTTTGTGATGTCGTATGGAACCTTCAAAGTTCCGTATAGTCTCACGAAACCTGTGCCAGAGTCTCCGATATCTTTAAGGGTTTTGTGAGACTTTACGAAACCCTTGAAGAACCTCGAAGGTTCCGTATGATAAAGAAAAATTGTTTCGAATTCGTTGCAAATCTCGGAACCCTTTTAAGTTTCGTAGAGTGCTTATTTTTTTTTCAGTGTACCGGTACTCAAGTACAAATGTACTTAAGTAAAATTACCAAGTACATTTGAAACATTTATATGATCATCGATTCATCAGTACTTGGTACTTGTACTTAAGTAAATTTGTACTAAGTATCGGTACTTAAGTACATTCGAGAAGTACAAGTAAATTTACTTGTACTTCTAAAGTATACTTTGTACTTACGATTTTTAAGTAAAAAGTATGAAAATACTGAGTAATTGTACTCAGTATCCAGTCTCTGATATCAACTCATAATCTTTTTCAAAATGATCTCGACAATAATTACAATCAGGCAATTTTGAATCTGATAGTTGCTCGAGCTCATGTAAGAGAAGAAGAATAGTGTGGGTAATTATATGAATGAAACGAAATGATATAGATAAATCTAGATGATCAGGTTTCTCATTTAGATTACTGATTTTTGCAGTTTTTTACTGTGATAACCAAACTTGACTTCATTTTGCTTTTGATGTGAGTTGGCCTAATTATAAAATAGAAGGCCTGGCAAACATACTTTCGAAATGTCTTTCATAATTCATATAAATAAACCTTGATTTATTGCGAAAATTTTTACATAACGACAGAAATAATTTGTGAGAGACAGGTTCAAAACATGAAGCCAGTTCTATACTCAGATTTTCGATCATTTTTTCATATTTATTATTTGGTGCATTATTTCTGTGGAATTTAGCATATTAATGCACGAAGAACATGATAAAACAATATGAGAACTGTTGATTGTTTGAACACCTATGAATGAAACATTTCCATTCTTCCATGAATTCACATTCTTTTAGCATGTTTTCCCTAATTGTATATTCTTTACTAGCTTCAAACAGAGGTGTTGGAAGAATACCATTTTGTTTAACTGTTGGTCTTTGTTGATAACCATAATTTGAAAGAACTGTTTTGATCCAATAGCAATTATGGCTCACAAAATTGTTTTCTAACTCTTCTAAATCAATACGATAAACTCAGCATAAATGTTTTATAATATATACTTTAAGGATACAGCAGAATTTAACGGTTGTTAGTAGTTTCTCATTATCACTCATTCTATTACTATTATTATCTCTACTCAGAGCAAAAGCATACAGTTCAAGATAAAATTTGAGCCAAGCAATTGTTGCTATGAATGAGAAAATGTGACCAGATTGATTAATGTGCATATTCTTTTGAAAAAATACTCCATCGTCCTGTGACTGTAATGGTTTGTAGTCAAATATGACCAGAGTAATACTTTTTCATTGATATGATACCTCTGGATGAACAGCATCAGCCTTGCTTTAATGCAATCCCTAAAATATGTTTCCTGTCTAGTAGCTTGTTTTTACTCAGTAAAGAATGGCTGTAACACGTTATTCTCAGACACAGAAAGCCAAACTAAAAATTTTATTGCTGGGGATACGGTACTTGGGTCCAACGTACAAAAAGTCACAATTGCTTGGTGTAGATTGATTGCGAAGCATCAAATACTTTTTATTTTCTATAATCAAGTGAAAACTACTTTTTGACAGTTAGCGATATAGATGAGGAGTATGAGTTGGAATTTCTTGGAGTTACTTATTCGAATATTTTGGAACTCTTTTATTCTTATAATAGTATATATCCATAGCTTTCAACTGACTTAAAATGATTTTAAAACAAACTTGACATTTGGAAAATAACAAACGTAAAGATATACCTGTCTTATTATTCAGAAGACGTTTTAGTCGTGTTAACTGACTAATTGTTCGCGTTTTCGGACGACCCGATCTGGGTTTGTCAACGATGGCACCAGATTCTTCACAGCTCTTAATAATATAACATATTGTTCGATACGGTACTTTCTCTTGTAAACAATGATTGACGGTAATTTTCTTTTGTCTGTTCATCCCATTGATGCCGTGTTGTACAATGCGACTTTTCAGACAATCTCTTTGAAAACGTGTCATATAGTTATAGAACAAAACAATAATAAAACACATTTTATATCAAAATAAAGGTCCTCTGATATGCTATTGATAGATGCAAAATGATTAGAAAAACAATCAGTACAATGAAAGAAACCAATAGATAAAATTTGTGCAAAGACTTTTTACACATAGGATATGTAATCCAACAAATGATATCAACCTATATTTCTATTAATGACAGCCACATAAAAAAGTCACTATATCAACATTTAAGCTCTAGACGACATCTCACATCGATCTAGAATTGTAAAGCCATTACTATGACTATCAACTTCCATCTTCAAGCATCCAATAGGTATGCAGCGCAAGTATTTCTGCCAACTATATACGGGCCAATGCAAAAGGCTGTGACAGGTCGATCTACGCAAACTTCAAAAGTGAGAAATTGAATTGAAACAGTAAGTTCTAAGCTGATGCAAAAATTTTAGCAGCAAATTATTTTTGTTTTAGATTGCTTGCAAACAAGCGAAAAGATCGAGAGCTAATTGCAGATCAAAGTTCTAAATTAATCGATTTGAAAATGTTTTGCTGAGAGAAAATGAATCACTTGAAAAGAAATTGAATAATATCACTGCTGCTGAAAAACTACGTAAATGAACCAAAATTATGAACGGTAACATTTTATCATATTTATACATATCATACAGCCCGTTCCGAAGACAGACACGATGAGTGACAGCGACATAAAAAAGCACGTAACCGATCAAAATTTTATCATAGTATCTTAAAAGACATTGCTATTGCACGAATTGTCAATAATTTATGTTTCTCATGCATCGTATGATATAGGCTTGGCTTTTTATCTACTGAAACGATTGAGACATTCATATTGGTATTATTCGATAATGATTCGATACTAGTACAGAAATGTGTTGATTCATGTTCAAAATTGATGGAATCGTAATGAGACCTTAGATCAATATGACTAATGTGGTTTGATATTTTTTCATTTTGAATTCTTTATGAATTTTTCAATAATTCTTTGTTAAACATTTGTCAACATGATTGACTTTCATAGTGTAATGTTTTATTTTATAGGTTTACATTTTCTTTGTTTGACACAGCATTGCATCGACTTTTTGCCAAATTCTTAAGAGCTTTATAAAAAAAGATTCAGAGAACCAAATAATTAGTATTCAAAAAAAACAATTCTTCGAAAATAGTAATCCAATCATAAAGTTTAATCCGATTATTTCTAATGAATAGAGTTGAGACGTTTGATTGTCTAGATTAGGTTTCGAATACGCGAGAAACACAAAATGAAGTTAAGAAATAAACTGGAAGAATACTCAATGATTCAACCGCTGATAAAAAAAACATGGTAATTGGTAATTATTTATCTACAAATTTGAGAAAGCTAAAATGTGTCACTCAAGATTCTGATCATTATGAGCAATTAATCAAATTCTTAATTTGAAGAAGAATCTTCACTATTCCTATGTGTATATTAAAACTTATTACAGATAGAATGCACATGTGTACGAGAATTATTTATCAGTTCCAAGAACTATGATATGTACAGAACAGAACGTTATGTAAACTTGGTTTAGATATAACCTACAACATTATTCTCGATCGAATGAATGAAAACAACATGATTTATATTTGTAAAGAATGTTTCATATGAGCTACGTCGTTAGGTGTTCGCTTGCTGTTTTTTCGAAAGTTTCTTCATTTAAGTCTCATTTTATGTTATGACTTTTGTAGCGAAATTTTTAAAAAACAGGCCAGAATATGACAGAGAAGCTGTACGTATTATGAAGTGTATATGAAAAATCGATTATTGAAATGTAACGAAAAAAAAAGATAAAAGAAAGAATGCTTTGATTATGGTATAACTGAAGTTGTCAGAGGGTGTGTATTGATTGTATATAACAGTCTATTCAGAAGTCCTTTGATTTTTTTGGGTAGTCTGAGAGAATGTTTATTTTATTTTCTTATTAGATTTTGTCATCTCATCGTGGTTGCTGGTAAGTTTAACACGACTAAAAGTTTCGAAATACAAGAGAAAATACTACTATTAATGCATTTCGTGCTCTAGATACCAAGAATGCAATACTCCATGGCATTGCCATTTGTGCGTTCCAAAGGAAGAATATTGTACTGAAGCAAGAACAAAAAGTCTACTAAATAGTGATAAGCAGCAAAATTACTTACAGAGGAATGTACCTACAAATAAGGGAGATTTCAAACAAAAAAGGCTTTTGTTTACTATAAACGAAATTGAAAAGGCTTTTTCGTATTCCCTTTTCATCTCCACAGAAGTAAGTAACATTCTTTTGCCTATTTGACTACTTTTCTTCACAGCTTGGTCAGGTCTATGTGAAAGATGTTGACACTAAACAAGAGACGAGTAGACAAACATATAAAGGATATCAACGAAAAACCATTGCAACCGTGAGGTTGTGGGTGACTATGGTCGAAGAAGAGATTCAACACCCACACCCACACCCTCAAGGTTCAATGAGTTTAAAACATATGATTTTATTGTTTTAACGTAATTTGAATTGATCTCGAATTATACTTGTTTCTACTAACGATCTTTTATTTAATAAATTCATGTATCTATCAAAGGCAAAGTACTGAGTTTTCAACTTTTTGACATAAAAATATTTTTGATCAGAAACTCAATATTTTACCACCGTAATTCAAAAACTTCTTGTTACACTGTAGCAGCTCAGTCAAAGGGGAAACAATTTCTTTAGCTTTCATCTGTTTTATTTTTGAGTCATTCAATATCTCTGGTTAAGGTTCTTTCCAAAGCGGCATATTTTAATAAGATTCAGCTGTAAATAATGTCAGTTTCACAATTATTAAATATCCAGAGTAGTTTTTCTTCACTTTCACGCATCCGTTAGGCGGCGCAGCCTGTTGTAGGCTCAACTATATCTAAATCTTTAATTATGGTTTATTACTTTTCACGTATGACTGACAGCAAGAGTAAGAAATTATGTTTGGCTACAAACTCGGTTAATGCTTTCTTCATCACTAATAAGAACCTGAATTCAGCAATATGGATTAGAAATTTTCTTTTTTCAATATACGATAATTTCATGACTTTTTAAATTTTTACTTAAAATATATTTTGCATTTGTAAAATAATAATCCTTTCTGTATACCAATACGAGCTAAGCAAAACCAAATAATATCGGGAAATGAAAGCAATAGTTAATGAAACAAATAAAATGTAGAATTATAGTCACGAAGTGCTTGCGCGTTCTGATTCTAGTAGAAACGAATTTTTTCACCAAGCAACATCTTATAACACGTCTCGTATTAGTACGTAATACTCTGAGTGTATTCATCATTGAACTATTCTACGTTTTATTTTCATTTCAAATAACAAATAACTAAAAGATATTCACAACCAAATCTCTAGTAAATCTGTTTTATATCGATATTCTAATGAATTAATTAAATATGGTCGAGACTCTAATAATCGCTGACGCCATAATGGAGCTAATTTCAATAAATTATAAGTATCATTTGGAGATCTAGCATCATGTTGACAATTTAATGTAAAATGAATCAGTGCTGGAAAACGATCTAATATCTTTTCAATATGAACAAATAGATGATCAACAGTAAGCCATGAACTTGGAGGTCCATCAATATTTAATGTTAATTCTTTCAAGATAGGTGATAATGATGATGAAGAGGAATGAGCAAAAAGTCTATCAACAATTTTAACAAGATCACCAAGTAAACAATTAGAATTTTGTGCAGCATAAGAAAAGATTTCAATTTGAGACATAAATAAAATACCAAGTTGAACACTTGATGACATTATACGACCTAATTTTAAATTTCCTTCAATAGAAAATTCACGAAGATATGGTGCACGTTGAGCAATATGAAGTAAAAGTGGGATATTTTCACCAATCGTTTCACTAAATTATTTGAAAAGAGAATATCTATTTCCATATTGCTGTTAACTTACGATATCACATCCAGAATATCACTTGTAAGAATTATTTTTCTTAAACAATGCCAACGATCAATTGATTGAAGATATTCGAGCAATGCATCACTGATATAATCCATTTCCATAAGTTCCATCTAAAAATAAAAATAAAAGTAAAATATTCTTTTTTGTTTTTTGATTATCTTACTTTAACAGCATATTCATCGACGTCTTCGAGTTGATCGAAAAGTTCAACTCGAGGATCTTTATTATTCTTATATGTTTTATTTAATGCTGAATAATTAAGATTAATACTTCGATGATATGTTGTTTTTTTAATACCAATAGCTTTGTTATATTCTTTAACTATACGCTTTTGAATTTTTAATGCATCAATTGTAGCATCGACTAATAATTTCATTTCAAATTTAAATCCTTTTAATTTATTCAAGAGTAACCATCGTTTTAATGCAGATACTCGTGGAACACAATTATTTAAAGTAAATCTTACATGACCTGATATCTTCAGATATTCAAGTTGACTATGACGTTGAAGTTCTTCAAAATAATTTAAAATCCAAGCGAGACCAACCATTATGTGAATACTAATATACCGTAGTTGAGGTACTGATGTTGATTTTAATGGTGTTGGACATGGTGGTTCAACTTCTAGAGCTTCATGTGAACTTAACAATTGCGATAGAAAAATTCCTTTGTTTAAAATAGTAATTACCACTTACCACGCAAGTGAAACATGTAAACGATGTAATTGAGATAGATGACCATCGTTTAACATTAAAACTAACAATTCTCTCGAACACTCATGAATCATAAGTGTATGTAAATTTTGATGAATAATCATTGGTGGACAATATCGATCGATGGCAAAAGAATGATTACTGAGCGTATGATCATGCATCCGTATGTAAAGTGATCGTAGTTCAGGTAAATATTCGAGTATTGGAAGAATAATGTCGAAATCATAGTTATTGTATTCTGAATGATGATATCGATCAACACCAATATCAATTGAAAGAAAATGAGCTTTTGATAAAAGAAAATTATCATCTAATAATGTTTCAAGTGCATGAAATGGAACATCTTCAATGACAACAGCTTTTAATGCAGGCCAATTGTGTGCTTCAAGTGGTACTGTTGAAATAAAATAATCAAGTGCATGTGGAGCATATCGTTCTGATAGATGAAGATAAACAATTTGTGATAGATGATTTGGTATAATTGAAGTCAGATAATCGAAATAGAGACTTATGTTCATATTTCGATTATTTGGTATAAAAAGTGGTTGTCGAGCAAGTATACATGTAAATCGTTGATTGAGATTATTAAAAGTCATAAAGAGATCATGAGGTGCCAAATATTCAAAAATAACATGAAAAAGTTCAACAGGTAAACTTTCGAATAATGTTGGTTGTTTATCCATGTTTTAAATAGATATGAAGATATAAACCGTTTATATACTATGAAGAAAAGAGAAAAGAAAAGAAAATCCCATCAGTTACACATGTCTATAGTGGTCAAGTGCATAGATGAATAAGATTTTAGTTTGATGTGGTCGCCGTTTAAGGGAGTCCAACGAAGTACACTCTAAAAAATCAAGACGCTATAGCGGGTGTGGGTGTTGCTATTCTTATTAGCAACATGTATATCCATACCCACACCCACACCAAATGTTCATTTTTTGCTTACATGACAGTACACCCAGAAATATAAAAATACAACCGTTTCATTTGAAAGTTTTTATGATATGAGCATTACCTGTTGCAAGTATCTACACGAAATTTTAGCTCACTCGATTCACTTGTTCTCGAGATATTACGTTCTACATGACTGTATCCTTTCAGTCGAGGGTTGGCGACGCTAACGTCGCGCTATCTTTAATTTAAGATTAAACTTAGATCGATTGCTGAAAAGCAAGAGTTGACTTATACAGATTGATCTACTTTTGAATCATCTTTTATTTAGAGTTGGATTGGTACATAGCTGCACTGAAACACCAAAACGTATCAGTCTTATTTTCCAGGCTTAAAACATTCACCAGGTCGATACCCAGACATACAAGGATAGTCACATCTGCCGATCGCGCCATTACACGAACAGCGACAACAGGGTCCGCAACCAATTCCAGCTTTATTGACGACCTCTTGAAGAATATCTTCACCAGCCACATGTTGAACCAATCCAGATCGCACGAAGTTAATCATAACTATCGAAATCAAAATAATAACCAATTCCAACTTGCGACTGTTTTTTAGCATTGCTTTTGTTTGCACTTCGCGATGTCTTCAGTTATACAGGACTACTTTTATACTATGATTTTTTCTTCATTTATATACTATTCATTTATCTCTAAGAGCAAGTCATATTGTTGTTTTCTCGCGGAAGTGCCACAGCTGTATATTTTCTCATGATACCGACGAGCCAATTTTGACAATGTAAAATAAACAACTAAAGGGACTACCCCGTCTTTACGAGATTTTACGGAGGATTTACAGTAGTCCGTAATATATCTCTTGTCAAAGTTTAAGCGTATCAAATATATTTTTGACACATCTTTTTCTAGAACAACATCATTGCTGACAAGTAAGAAGTTATAAACGTATTGGAACATCCGGCTTTCTAGTCCAAACGCCCCATTTGTGTCCGATGACCCTCCCTCAAATCTGCTAACTTCCCCTTATCTGTTGGCGTGTAGTCAGTTAAATAAGAGCATTCACTGTTTATTATATTTTTTTTTAATATAAAAATTAAATAAATTTTCTTTTGGCTCACTAATTTTTGGAAAGAAAAACAGTGTTTATTAAGATGATAATGTGCACAAATAGAATAATAATACTAATTTCGAAATAAAAACAACAAAATTAATGAGAACCGGACAAGCGCAATGAGAGAAAGCATTCATAACAACATAAGCGCAAATAATCGAGTCAAAATTTGATCAAGAGAAGAACAAAAATGCACACTGATGACACCATAATAAAAAAACGAAAAGTATTTTCTACCATTCTCGCGCGAATAAAACAGAATTAAATCTGACACATGGAGTTAATAATAATAATAATTGCCAAACTAAATAAATAATACGGAATGTATTGAGTTCTTTCACATTTGATTATTTTTCGCCACATGCTTTGATAGAGATTTCTTTTCAGCTGTTAATACAATTAATTTTCCATCTTTAACACTAACAAGTAAATGACTGAAATCTTTTGTAAAATGCAGACAATTGATTTATGTACGAAGACGAATTGATTGCATTGTTTTCATTCTTCAAAACAAAATGTAAAGATGACATTTTATAAAAACGAAACAAAACTTACTCAAACTTAATAACAATTCTTGCTACGACGGAATTCGTTGATTCTTTCTTATTTGCTGGTTGTGGCAACGGTAAATAATTAACAGCAAGTATAATGTGTTGATCACTTAAAAGCATATCAACGACTTCATTTTCTAATTTTTTTTGTTCGAATTGAACCACCATTGATGGAATATAAAAATAAATGTGTATCGTATTTTTCAGTTTGAATGAGTACATGTCTTTCATTTGATAATTGTAAATTAACCATTGAATCACCCATGGGTCGTAATGTTCGTACATAAATCCCATGTTCAATTGTATATATATTACAAGTACCATCGAGTGAACCGGACACGATCAGATCAAGTTCAGTGGAGAAATGAATTTAATTCTTGATCCGTTAGATTATTTAAATGATGGATATCATTGATAGATACATTCCAAATCACACAAGTTGTATCACGTGAACCAGTGGCAAGGGTGTGGGTGCTCAGTTTGACCTTCAGTTCCGCAGAGACCCACACCCACCCTCAACTATCACTTTAATATCGTCTTTCAGGGTACGATCTGAGCTATGTTTTGAAGGAATCCGGTTTCGCTGCGTCAAACACAATCGAGTAAAAACAATAATGAAAAGTTAAATCGCTTTCGAACAGTCGCATAAACGGCTTGCACGTCCATTGCAGTGTGTTTTTATCTCACGTGTTAACTTATCTTCGAGTCGATATTTGACGAGAATAGCATGAAGAATAACAAAATAACAAAACGAACGAATCAATTCAGCGACAACGCATTCGCTTTAGTTGCTATCCTGAGGATGAGACAAACTCATTGTATGTTTGAAATATATAAATTATTTTCTTATCTAATCAATAATTTTCAAAGATTAGATGCCATCTTAATGAGAGATTAAGAATTGTGTATGTATTTATCGTTTTTTCTCAGTTAATTTCTTATATCTTGTGCATTGCATCGCTGCATAAGTCGATCAATTTTCTAATAGTTTCAGATTCATTGTAACTAACAATCATAGAATGTGGATTATTTTTTATACTATCGCTCTTTTTGTTTCAATAACTGAAGCTATACCACGAACTGATGTAACGGTTTCCGGTTTATCTTCCGGTGCTGCAATGACAGCTCAGTTACATCTTGTCTTTTCATCTACAATCAGTGGAAGTGGTATTCTTGCCGGCCCTCCATATTATTGTGCTGAAGGTAGTTCGACTAGAGTTAATACTTGCTTGTATGGTCCAACTACATTGATTCCTATCGAAAAACTTACAAGTCAATTACAATCATATGTTTCAGCTGGTATTGCTGATCCAACATCAAATCTTAAAAATGATCCAGTATATATATTTTCTGGTAGATTTGATCCTGTAGTTTTTCCAGATGTTGTTAAACTCAATGAAAACATTTTTTCGTCATTTGATACTAATATAAAAACAAATTACGAGATGCGAGCTACTCATGGTTTTATGACAGATAATTTTGGTGGGCTATGCGAATTTCCTGATTTAAAATACTTTATTAATAATTGGTATGCAGAAAAAAATAGTAACGTATTAATTAAATTAAGTTTGTGCTTGTTTTCTCTTTTCAAAAAGTTCTTTTAGTTTGGCTTATGATGTGTTAAATCACATATTTGGTGGAAATCTTACTAAACCTACAAAACAAGTGCCACTTACGGGTCAATTTGTTATTATTGAACAACCAGCACTTATGAATCCAGAATCAATTAATAGCACAAATTCAAAAAAGATAGATATCTTTTCATACTGGGCAAATTGGTTAAAAAATTCAGCGGCTACGCATAAACCATCATTTCAATTACAGCCACTTAAACTTCCTGGTTTAACTGAAACCTCATCGATTGGTGCGTCTGGTTTTGATAAAGAAGGTTATGTTTATTATCCAACAAACTGTACTCAAGGAAAGAAATGTCCAATTCATGTAGCTCTTCATGGATGTCTACAAGGTTTGAAGAATTTTATGTTTTCGCTGTATATATCGAATTTATTCACTTGTCTTAGGTAAATGGCGCATTGGTGATGTATTTGCTAAGAAAACGGGTTACTTGGAAGTTGCTGAACTTAATAACGTAATTATATTATTTCCACAAATTATTGCAACACAGACTGATCCTTCAAATAAAGATGGTTGTTGGGATTGGTGGGGTTATGGTTCTCCTAATTATGCTAGTAAATTAGGCGCACAAATGGCAGGTGTTAAGAAAATGATTGATAGCTTAAGAGCTATTAATGCTGCTTTAAATGCTTAAAAAAAATAAATTTTCCTATTTTATCAGAAATAAAGCAAGCACAAAAAATATATGTAGTACTTAAGTTTTTATAGAAATGCCGCCAAACGGAATCGAATCAATGACCTAAAGAGTACAGTTATTATATATTTGCAGTCCTGTGCTCTGCAAACTTAGTTTTATTTTAACTCGAAATGGCTATATAAAAATGTTTTTATTATAAATAAGACAATTTTTTCCATCTTTTAAACAAAATGGCAGTTTGCAAGTTAAAGCCCTAAATGTTGGGTTGAAGAGAACAACTTAGACAGTGAAACAGTAGAATTCAATTTGATGAGAATAAAATGACTTTTAAAATCATTGGAGACCATAATTATACAACGTTCACAAGTCAAGAGTCCAGATTTTACTTGGAACTTCGATGAATATAAGATTCACATCGTGTATGTATTAATAACGGTCTTTGAAAGGTCTTTACGCGCTTTTCTATGTGCTTTACCTAATACATAAGTGAATGAAAGTCTGTAATGTGGCATTTGAACCACTTTTATATGAGTTTATATCAGTTTCCCCTAGAACTTAGGTGAATGGACGTGTAGAATCAGCTAGATCTTCGTAAAGCCCTTTGGTAGGTGAGGGTGTGGATGTGGGTTTCGAAGAAGACATTCGCACTCACACTCACACCCTTCTGATGCATGCCTTTCGAAACTAACTTGTACTTTTTGACTTACGCTACGCTCATCGTCTTCAAAAGTTGAATAAGATAGCCGATTTGCATGTAGTTCAAAGCAAATTTGAGTGAGTTACTTTTTCCGTTTAGAAGACGAACGAAGTACAGCATTAAAAAAAATGCCAGAATTTTCTCAAAAAAAGCTCGATTGTGGTGGCCGTGATTGGCACTTTGACGGTCCTGATGATTATTGGCATAAAATTTGTGATTGGGAAAATTGAACAACGGATAATTGGTTCGTTTTTAGGTTTGGTGATTGGAAATGTTTGTGGCACCATCGTTTTCATGCGACTTGTAGTAATAATCTTGGTTATGGCGCTCATGAGTTTATTCTTCGTGATGTCAATGATGATGGAGTTACTAGCGCTTGTCGTCTTTTCCCTAATCATTTTTCTAGCAATAACGAAATTCTTCGTCTTCCTGATGGTTTCGAAAACTTGATATGTGTATGCGACAAACGAAAGGCACTAGAAATAAAATGCAATATCACTTTTACGGCGCAAAGTAATTGGCGTATATTCGAATAGAAAACCAAATGCTATGTTTCTATCAGCTATACAAAAATAAATTGAAGTTGAATTGAATTAAACTCCCGTCAAGTACTTCCAATTTTAGCATCTTCATTGTACGGACAATATTAGTCGCAGGACTTGTTCCGCATATTCATAAAGGAAAAACTAGATCAGTTAGACTTGAACAAAATTTGTTCTGATTTCATTGCAAAATCAGAGTAGAAAAGGATTTCTTGGGCATCAACAATAGTTTTTCTACTTAGCCTTTTTTATTTGCTTTAGTCAATATTTAAGATTTTTTTTGTCTATGTTAATAATGAAATAAAAATTTTGATAGCAGAATATTCGATTGTTCTGCCGCCTATGTACCACGGCTATTCTGCAGCACACCGCGTTATACACTAAAAAACATTCACACGACACCGAACCCAAAAGGGCGTTTTTAACTGTAAAAGGTTTTATACATAGTACGGAACCTAAAAGTGTTTAGGTTTCGTAGATAGAACTACAAAACATTTGAAAAAGTATTCTAAGTCTATGACGATTATTTTCAGGCAACCAAAGTTTTTACGAAATCTTCTGACGGTTCCGTATTTTCTTTGAAAAGGGTTCGGTACACTAGAAAAAAATGAATATGATTACCAAACTCTTTTTTTTAGTTCAAAACATCCTTTTGGGTTCTGTATCGGACCAATTTTCTTTTCAGTGCACCCACACCCTCAGTCGAAACTCGTGATAGTAGCTACTAGACATTCGCACCCACATTTTTAATTCTTTTTATGTAATTAATCATTTTGGCTAAATCAATATGCGATTATTTTCGTTAAATATGATAGAAAATATTGCAACAATATTATAATTGTGAATATGAATAAGGCACATCGATTCGAAACGGTCGTTGTTGCTATACTTGTCGTATCGGCTTGAACAATGTCCAGTACAGAACTAGAACTTTGAAGAATTTGTTGTATTGAAATTTCCGTGCTTGGACTATTACAAAGATCTCGATTACAACTGAAGGAAAAACCGTCTTGAACGTCAGACAATGAATTTGCAAATGAGCCTACGCGATAAATATCAATACTGCTCACTAATGCAATATTTGGACGGCAGGTACGACTAAACGATACATCTCCGTTAAGAATTGAACTACATGTACCATAAGTACAATTCATAGGATTATTCGATTCATAACACTGAGACACACGATTACCCATATTATTATACAATAATGTAGCCAAAGAATCGTACAAAGGTTGATAGTTGACAGTCTTGAATCTATTGATGACTTGACTTGCATAGTTCCAATCACAGTCATTACCAGTGTAACAGATGAAATGCATTACTTAAATAAAAGACCACACATCGTGGTATCGCATCGATACCATTTGTTGTGCTGTGCTAGTGAGAGTCTCATTATCAGGGCCATTTTCGGAATCCGTCGAAAAAAAACTGATATGGATGTGTTCAAAGTCATGGGTTATAGCGACTGTAGCATGACATACTTTTGACAATATGCGCTGTGAACAATTCGAGGGTAAAATGAGTGGACTTGAAAAATCTAGATTCATAGTACATTGAGAAATGCATGGATGAAGTTCAGCTCTCGATGAATCTGTTTTCATTGCTATTTCTTTGTTAAGACGTGACGCAGTCAGACGAAGCCGAGTTAACTTTTGCTGTGCATCTGATCGAAACGTTTCCATTTGTTTGTCGTTTAAATTCACGTGACATTGTATGAGACAAACAAGTAATAATAAAGCAAAACTCGTTGATACGTGCAACATCATTTTGCTGATTGAAACTGCATAAAACTCAGCCGTGTGTATATATACTTTGTATTTTTGGAGTTTTTATGAGATACTAATGTCCTACCTGCAATATGTTTCAAGTAGCTTGTAAATCTGATACCAGCCACAGCGCTACCAATAATATCGACACCCCAAAACGAACCAAACACGATTTAGGCATCATAAGTATTACCAGCAATTCTTATTTACGACCTAAACAGCAATTCATCTAGAGCGGTTAGAGAAAAAAATTCTCATGTGAAACATCTAAAGAATCTCTTTGCATGACACACCCACACCCTTTTGTATAGAATTGAGGATGTGTCTGTAGTTCTTTTGGGACTTGGATGTCGATAAGATGAATACCTACCAGAGATGGACACGGTTCAGGTTTTTCAGAATTTAAACCGAACTGAACCGAGAAAAATTAGTTTTCTAGAATTTCATCAGAGATCACTAGAATCATCTAATTTTTGCTCCAATTGATGTGTCCTATTTCAAGCGATTGTCATCTGCACCGTTACTCTTACTTAATTATTAAATTAATTGGGAAATTGTTGTATTGATCGATATATTTAATCGAAAATATGCAGTGTCCAAAATTTTCAGCTGAAAATTCATGAAGACAGAACATACAATAACTTCTGCATATTTTAACCGTGAAAAAAGCTTTCAGAGCTGTCAAATTGCTGCTATTTCTAGGAGATATTTTTAATTATCGATGATTCAAAGAGAGGAATAGAGTGAAAGTTTCATCCGTAACCAACCGGAACAACTTGATTGTTTTGATTTCTTATGATTTCTGATGGCTTTTAGTGATTCGTAAGGATTTTTAGTAGGAGAAATCAGTTTGTTCCCCTTTGTCAGGAATATTTATCCATTTGAACATAACAGAATATTCGGGATCTTCTATACTACAGAGTGGTGGAGAAAGCTATGAATGAGATATAATTATCTATATGAAACCATGTTGTTTTTAGTTATAAATTATTTACACTCAATCAATGTTAGCTAATAAATAAGAAATATTCGTATGATATTAACTTCAGTTTAATTGATGATTACTGAATATCTTTTCTTCTTAAAGGATGTAATTAGTTTGTTAATGTTTTGTTTTTCTCAGAGAAATAAATATAATAGAATGTATAAATATTTTCCTTGTTACTTATATCTTTTTTTCTATTAATTTTCCTTGTTTTATATACCGAACTACTGATCTGAACCGCATCAATTTAGCCAAGAACCGAAACCGAAATCTTTTCGTGGAGTTGCAAACCGAACTGTGCCCATCTCTGCTACGGACATCGTCAACTCTGAAAAAGTATAGAATTCGAAATTAATATTATTTGCATATCACAACTGCGTCACGTTTTCTGTTGTCGATTTAGGTGAAGGGTAGCCTTTCTTTTGGATACATACAACCATAATCATTTTCACTTTTGCTCATGCAAATCCTTTAAAAATTGAAGATCAAATAGTCCAGAAGACGCAAGTAAATTTTTATGCCACATGTTACTATCTATATAATCTTATTAATTTTCTTCTAAGTTTATATTGAAAGACATATACCGTTAAATTCTCTTCAAAAATTTTATATAGTGTTTTATTACAAAGTATGAGAATTGGAAGCTACACAACAATTATACAACGTCTCCTAAGCTACCAACTTTCTAAAGCACGTTTTAACATTCTTGAACTTTTCACTAAACGGTAACAAAAGTATAAACATATATGAGAATAAACTTTCTGGTTCTATGAAGAATGCAGATCTAGCCGTTGTAAAAAAAAATAAGTAATGCAAAAAGTTGATTATTAGATGCGCCAGGTCAAACTTTGTCAACATCTATATATGTTTTTTACCTGGTGTTGTATTATCTGATTGAATTGAACTGTTCCATTTATCCTATTGGAATATAACTTCTTCTATGTGTCTATTCAATCTTTGTAGTTTAACTCTTGTCAATATTATTAATTATCTGAACGATTCTTTATTGTCAACAGCTATTCATTCTATTCGTCGTCTTCAATTTTCTACTTATCCTAATCATATATCACCGAACTGGTCAAAGATTTTGTGTTCACTTTCAATTTTATCACAATTGAGTTCATTTCATGTATTTATTTATTTATTTATGACGTGATAGCAAATGTTGACGATAAGAATTATGAAATTATTGTAAAGATAGCATCATTAGTCAGAGACTTCGGCTTTTGGTTTTGGATATAAATTCAGCTCAAATGATGACGATGAACTTACAAGTATATTTAAAAGTCAGACAAAATATATCAAATATTTATGCGATTGAATTTTATTTACTACATCAATCGAAAAAAACAGATGTGAACTCTCAATGCAGTTTTAAATAATTAAAAAAGGCATTTTGAATTAAAAGAGAACAATTTCTTTTCGTTTCTTTTTTTACTGTGATAATTGATAACTGTGGAAAAATCAAAGTCAAGCCATTCTATTTGAACTAGTTGCCTTTTAGGTAATCTATTGGCTGCAGCTTGAGGATGTGAGTGTGGATACGGCTTTGAGTGTTCAATTCCTTGCAACGTACACCCGCACCCAAACATTCCACATAAGCTATCATCGATTCTTATAGAAACTATTCAATTAGTAATTGTCGTTTTAGATGATTTATATAGGAACACATGTCTGATGAATTTCTATGGAAACCATTTCAAAAAACATTTTCCTCTTCCTGAAATAGTTGAATATTATTCACAATACTATCGTTAAAAGCTGACATTTTTCGCAATATATGTATTTTTTTTTGAAAGATACATCTGCTGTATTCGAAGGAACGTCACCGCAAATATGCCAAACGAATATTTTACTAAAACATATACAATTCGATACAGTTTATGCCGTTTTAGATATTGAACGAAGTTTTGAAAATAAATAATCTCTTCAATCAATGTCATACACATGATTCTGCGACGATTGATCTGCTTTTAATACTCGAATAAATAAATGAATAAGATGTGAAACTAGTTTATTGATGAAGACAAACATTTTTTTGAACTGATTCAGAAAGTTTTTGCTGAACCAACATTCAATTATTTGAAAAGAATAACTTTTCCAGTCAATCAATACAGAAATCTCGCCTCATTTTATGCGTGAATAAAGTACAGAGAAACGATTGAAAATTTGCTAGTATTACTCAAGTGATTGTAGTCATTATACAAATCAAATTATATAAATATGGAATTTGGATATTTTCTATCACATGAACATTTGCTTCTATATCGATCGGTTTCCATGAGAGGTATTTACAAATAGTAGAACCGGAAACTTTCTCAATTTCTCGTGTTATTGTATTCGTGTGTTTGCGCCCCCTATGGAACTATTTGGTGAGTTTATAAATACAAAAAATCGATGTAATGTGATGTTACCATAGTCGTTATGATCGTCATGGGGATGAACTATGTTTTTCTTCGTTACTTTTATTTTATATAACATTGAAAAAAAATATCAACATTTTGTCCTTAAAATACAATTACGTTCGGATGATACATGCAGAATAATACGATAAACATGTTTTTCTTTATTACTCATTTATGAATGAGCTTTTCTATCCGTTTGTTCCATACAAAAATTTTCCTTTTTGATACAATTATAATATTAAAAAAATGTTCATTGAGAGAAAGTAGATATTTACTTTTCACATTTTAATGGATTAGTTCTCGGACAGAAGAGCGATAAACAAACAAAAAAAATAGTTTTCATAATAGTGAACTGGCAAGTCTCAATTGATTTGAACAATTTTACATTTCAAATAATTTGAAATTAACATGAATGAAACTCGATTGTTGTTTTAGTTACTTTGATAATTATTATTATTAAGAATTTTCGAGTTTTAAATTGGTATCATCTTACAATTTTTGTCGAAACTTGATCAATTTTGGTATTGAGAAAACATGGGCAATTCTTCAGCATCATTATCTTTACCAAATTTGACAACTCATATTGTTACTAAGGGTGGTTCCGTATTTCGTTTATCCTATTTCGATTTGGTTGATCATATTATTTTATTACGTCAAGTGGTCGTTCATCCAGAAATGATAGAGAAAGGAGATAAATTAAATTTTTTCATTAAAGATTATTGTCATCGAATGTCAAATAACCAAATGATGAGTAAATATCGACAGTCAGAACTTCCATGGGAAATTGATTGGATTTGGCATGTACATCGTTTGCATCCTATTAATTATTATAATGATTGTATCAAACAAATTCCAAACAATTATTTTATTGATAAAAGAATTCGCAAGTTAACAATAGATGAATATCACAAATTCGATTATTCTAAATCAGAGAAACAAATCAACAATCGGACAACATTTGTTCCTTCATTTGATTTGGAAAAGGCCGTTCTACGTCAACGAGATTTTCTTGATAAATTTCAACAGCATGAACTCTACACATTCGATCTAAGAAATATGAGTTCGATGAAATTTCGAGAAATTGTAGAAAATTATATATTATTTATGAAATTAGCAAGAAAAAATACAACAATCGTTCCAACATTTGATATCGATTTGATGTGGCATACGCACATGAGATATCCATTGAATTATTTTCACTTTTCTGAACAGTTGTGTGGTTTTCTACTTAATCATGATGATTCAATCACTCCACAAGTACTAAATAATGCTTATAAAGATACCGCTGAACGATGGAAAACTGCTTATCAATCAGAATATGGTCACAATGTCGATAGAGACTGTTTTCGCAATTCTATGAATTCCATTCATTGTACAATCACTCACGACTCTATTGTGAAAAAAAAATCAAGTCACGGAAGTTATACTGGATGTGGAGGGTTTTGGAGTAGTGAAAGTCAAGTTGGAAATTCGAATAGTTGTGGAAGTTCATGCGGAAGTAGTTGTGGAAGTTCATGCGGAAGTAGTTGTGGAAGTTCATGCGGAAGTAGTTGTGGAGGTGACTGATGATCAGTCGTGTTATTGTACCATTTTACTAAAATCAAATTTTCAATCAAGAAAATACATATTAATCAACTTCAAACTCTAAGTTTTAATTGAATTTATCAATTAAAATTAGAATTAATTCCAATAAGAATAGAAATAATGAAGAAATTTAGTCATCGGCCAAACTAAAATTATTATTTTCTCAAAAACAAATCTTCTATATACAAGTTTTGATAATAGATTATCTATGAAAATGTTTTGCTGTTTTAGTATTTGTTTTGTAGAAAGAAAAATAGATCATTCGGAATTTTCTCAGTATGAGATATAGAAAACTTGGCAACGTATTCATTGAAACAATTAAATAGATGATGAGAATGAGGATTAAGAAAAGAGACCATCTACAATCTCTATTACTATTTTTCATAGAATATTTAGTATGATTTAGATTCGCACAAATATACAATTAATCATAATATATTTAGGGTTTTAGATGTATAAACACATAGATAATGCCAATTAGAAAAAGAAAATAAGCAATTGAATTGCAGATTTAGCTTCAATATAGCAACAAAGAGAAACATAAATCTCTTAATCAAGATGTAAAAAGCGATCAATAGACTATGATTGAATTCAAAAATAAAACTGTACATAAAATGGCATTTTTATTCATTCTTAGTTTTTTTCTTCAATTGATTTATTCTAATCATATATAAAAGAAAATTGTTACTTTCAAGTTTCATTTTTATGTTAACTTTTAAATATTTTGAAGTTTATGTTAAGACTATCATTTAAATGATCTTTTCTTTTGTAATAACTATTTAGATCTGCTAGTCCTATGATTCAAATTTTGACAATACTAAAAAATATCTAAGATTATAAATCTTGAAGTGAACTCTGATGGAAGTTACAAACCTTTTTCTTTTACTTGACAAGAAAAAGCCTTGTCACATTTAACAAATACAATTATTTGAATAAAATTTCTTTCAAGTTAATTTATTATCTTTATGTTCCTATCAAATACTGTTAATTTTCACAATGATTTCTTTATGAAATAATCTATTAACGATGAATATATACAAAATAAATTCCTATTTCAATTAAACATTTATATTAAAAAAAAGACGTTATTTATAATTAATTGAAATCAAGCAAATAAAAGAAATTTCTATTAAATATTTAGCTATAAATAAAAAGAAAGAATTTTCCTTTGAACGGTATATCTAGGGGAAGATGTGGATATGAATATTTTACTACATTTGTTGAAAAGATTTATTCATGATTTTTATTAGAGAAGAATCTTTTATGTAATTATTTCTCTCAAATGATGAATATCTACAACCGCTGATTATTTATTTGCTTTCAAAAACTAGTTGATGATGAGTGAATACAATGCACACTCTCATCCATAATGTTTAAAGATTTCTTGAAAATACCAAAAGCTAAAATTGAAAAACCTAATAGTCATTTTGCACATTAAAAAACACGAATATTGAGTAAAATCACGTATCGTTTATATATTGTGTCGTCTCTAATCAATTCTATCCTTTGTAAACTTCAAATCAAGACTTTTCTAGTGCTATCAACACCGACTAGTATTAGAAACACTGAAAATATCGATATTTCGTATAACTAGACATAGGTGGCGGACCCATTAGGCTTGGGGAGGCTCAAGCCTCCCCTAAAAAATGGATAAGAAGGCTTAGGGAGGCTCATTTAATTTGAAAAAAAAGTTGTAGAAACAGACCGCCTATTAGTATCAGATGTGTTTTGTCTTTTAATTTCATCTCTCATCATCCTCATCATCTGAAAAAAATTTGAGCCTCCCCTAAATTGAAATCGTTCCGCCGCCGTTGAGATATCTTTCAGATTGTCAATTATTTCATTATTAAAGACCATATCAGCTTGTTGTTTTTTATGTGAATCCGAAGACTGCCTTGCTATATCTATGAGTTCATCCTTTTCATCTGGTGCAAGCGACTCAGCCAACTTATTTAAAATCAAAGTATGATGATCTTATAATTAAAAATTTCTTTCCCGTATACCTTGAACTGCTTGTACACCTCGATTTAGTTTCGATACTAAATGTCGAATGCCGCTTTGTGATTGATCTTTAAGTGGTATTCTGGTTTGTGAGCGTATTTGGCTAACATCTGCTTCGCACATAATTTGATTCATTTGTTGTCTAGTATCGACAATTTTGAAAGTAGATACCTCAGTGGCAGGGTTGCCAGCCGTACCCCATTTGACCCCTTTGTACCTAAAAAAATTGTACGTCTGAGTTACGCATTTTGTACCCCATCTGCATGTTTCAATGTTACGGCCACTATCATCCATATTTTGGTTGAAGCAACGAAAATTTCTGTCTCTCTATCCGACATTTACTATTGATAAAGATGTGAAGCGTCAATTATATTGGTTGGCTGCTAATGGTCATGTTTATGAAGTATTCAACAATGACATATGCAACGAGTCTCATGATGAAAACAATCTCATTCACAAACCGACGACCAAAAATCATGAAAGAGAAGAGGAATTTCGGTCTGATCAATTTTGGGCTTTTCTTCTTGTAAAGTCGAAACCAATGTGTATTGAAATGTACAAAATTATTTCTTATGTGTACTCAATTCCTTGCTCGAATGCATTTGTTGAAGGCGTTTTTAATCAAAGAAAAAGCGCATGGACAGCCAGTCGCAATTTGACAATGAATGAAACGATAGCTGCTGAATTGAAAATCAGATTTAATAGTACTATGACATGTGAAGATTTTTTTTCTTTTGCTGAAACACAACCGCAACTGATAAAGTGTGGCAAAAGGCAACAAAAATACAGTTTCGAAAAAAAGCGTGCAACAGTTAGTGTAAATATAAACCGAGAAGGTTCGGTTTGAGTAAGGATTGTTTTATTATGATTGAATTGAATATATGTATGACAAAATGAAATTTTATTGTGAACATATTAGAAAATAAAGATTTCAATTTGAAAGCTAGACTTTATAGTAAAACGAAAAACTGAGAATGCCCCTTCCTGATTGAAAATAGTTTTCGAAATTGATTTCCGCAGTCGATGACCAGTGTGAAAGATGTAAACTGCGTACCTCATGAATGTACCCCATTTACAACTGAGTTGTACCTAACGTGTACCCCATTTGGAACCTGAACAGCTGGCAACCCTGCTCAGTGGTCACGAAAGATAAATCGAATGGCACAAAGCCCTGAACATCCCGAGGTACTGAAATAATTTTTCTATGCTTTGAGCATCATCTATATCCGATAAATATTTATTTAGAAAATAAAGGTAAGCTGTGAAAGAGTATATTTACTTGCCATCGATTGGAAAACCTCCAATGCTTGAACATGTTTCCAGATTAGCTCGACGGCAATCGGACACTGGTGTAAGATAAGAATTCTCATTAGGTATTATTTTCGAGAAAATTCTTTCTTCTCACGTTTATTAAAGTTAAAGTTATTCATATATTTATTAGTTACCCGTCGCACACGAATGGATTCCAATGTAAAATTTGCTTTATTTTAGTAATAGGAAATTATAATATAATTAAATTTGATACTGATTAATTGTGTTGCACTCATTTCTTCTTCAGTTCAGACGGAAACGGGAAGAAAAAAAGGTCAATCAACTAATGTCTAATATCGCGTCGTCAGTTATAATGCATTGATCGACTATTGCCCTATTCTGTCGTGTTTTCCATCAATGGAAGGACAAGTGAGGAAAAAATTGGACGTTTATATATTTGTCTATTATTGCTTTCTTTTTTCATATTAATCTTCAGTCGATATTAACTCCTTCTCTTTATCAATTCCTTTTCTTGTAAGACAAATGGTCGAAAAAGTCGTGGTGAGTGCACTAAAGCAAAAACACTACATTTTAAAAAGCATCCTAAGTCTTAACGAATCACAAATTTTAATTAGTCAGTTTTTCCTTTTCTTTTTCAAAATCATTAGTGAATAGAATCACAAGAAATCTACAGTAGTATATCATTTTTCTTGATTATGGAACATACTTTGCGCGAGCTGAATCGGAAAAAGAAATCAAATGCCAATTTTTGCTGCTGAATCTGATACAATATTCATCTCCCATCAGAATGAAAAATAAACGAACCCAAAATATGCTATTTTGACTTAGTTATGCCTCTTTTCCTAGAAGTACGGTGAATGCGGATTGAAAGAGCTAAATTTTTGAAATTCTCAAAGAGAAGATACATTGAGTGTATCACAAGGATGAGCGTGAGAATTTTCCAGTTATAATCGATCGATAGAGCTTCTCAGCAGCTACAAGATACTTATAATGTTTGATTTTTGTCGTTACTAGCCAACGAAAAAAACTTGAAGAAACAATTTTGACCTTTAAAAGTTGACATTTTTGTAGGGTATCGAAGGTTCTACTTAAAAAATTTTCGCTTAACTGTCGATAGACAGAATTCTAATATAGCTTTCGTAGATAATTAAATGGCGGATTTTCTGAGGAAAAGTTGAAGTTCAGAGAATGAAAATTGAAAAAGTTATCGGCAAAATACTGAGATGCTCATTTCATTTGGCGCACTCGGTAATTAAGCATTCAGTCGAAGGTCAAGTGAGTCACACAGACAAGCGTTATGTGTTTTTCATATAGGAAAAATTTATAAGTTTTCTGGCGAGACAAAATTAGAGCAAATTAAAGTGTGATAAAAATCGAATCAAGATTATATTATTAAATAAATACATGAAACGCGTTGGCGAAATAAAACTCCACATTTGGATTAATTAATTTAATTCAAGCACACTCATATATTATATCTTATTTTAATTTTGACTTTGATCGATTGCTGAAAAGCAAGAGTTGAGACTATCGAATTGATTTGTATCTAAGAGACATACTTCGATCTGTTTTCCATTAGCTTTTCTTAAATTTTACATTCATCATCTTTCATAACTTCAAAAGCAGTTCCATCAAAAATGTAAAATTCTGAAAAGTTTCTGTAACAGACAATTTCATTTTCCTTGAAATGGATGATTATTTTGAGCAAGCAAAAACGTTGTGAACCGTTTTTGACAAGAAAAGGATGTGTGTCAAATTATGGACTTGGCATCCCAAAAAATCTGAGCCTCATTTTATTATCCTAAGAATCAGCATTCATCCCTGATTATTTTTCAAAAGTTTATTTTCTGTTTTCTGATCACTCATTTGTTCATGCCTGGGGTCCTCCTCAGGGATCGAAAACATATTTTTATCCCCGTTCTATTAGAAGTATTGATAGTTCGATAGAACTAAGTGCGCTGATTACAAATATCATCATATTTCTCAAAACTTGTCCGACAATAACAAAGATATGAAGCACATTCTGGAAGCCCTAAAAACAATTTTTGATCAAAAAGTACACTCTAAAAAAAAGGAACTCTACCGAAACCCCCAGGAAGGTTCGGTAGATTTGAAAAAGCTTGCAAATGTGTTGAAAGTTCCAAAAAAAGAATAAAAAAATCTACGCAACCTTTAAAGGATCTTTCCTGAGGGTGTGAGTGTGGGTCGGTGTGTGGGTTTAGGTGTTAGGTATGCCAAGAGAAAAATACACCCAGACTCACACCCTCTACAATTGAAATTGACATAATATTTGAAATTGACATAATATTTGAAATCAACTAATCAAACTGAAACAAATAACGCTTATGATTCTGGAAAAAATTTTCATGGAAACTTGACTCGAGGAGCACTAGGGAAGTTTTATCGCAAAAAGATGACAGAGTGGGAAGTATGACTTATATTTTAATGGCGTGTTTTTCCAACGTAAGTAGCTCCATTTGTTGCAGGCTTTTGCGCTGATTTTAGATAGTATACAAACTGCTTGTAAATAAAGCATTAACTGTCAAAGTTTCCAAAAACGGTGCACGTTGTTTCTTGTTTCCTGTTGATTTTCGAAAGATTGAAATTCTTAATAAAAATAAATTTACTTTGAAAAAGGATACGTAGCCTCTTCTCCTACTTACACGATGAATATGATGATTATTTAATACGCACTAAATATTTGACCTTAGATAAGTGGATAGATTTTACATATTCTGATTTTTATGCACTTGAGGGTGTGGGTGTGAAGGTGTTGGTATCGGTTGTAGAGCGTCTATGTAACAAACCACACCGTCACATATCCATTTACACCCTGAAGATAGATTTATGATGTTAGTCAGATTTTGATATTTCAATCTGGAACAGTTTTTGTTGTTTTTCTACTCTTTTTTTTATATATAAATGATATATTACTTTTCGAATAAAATGTATAATAAATTCAAGTTCAAAAAAATTTATATATATATATATGTATATAATATATTCCTTTGGACCCAAACCTGTGCCTGGACCCGGTTCCGGGTACGTTTTCAGGACTCTAGTGGCTTCTCAGTTCACATATCTAAGGTTCAAATCCATAAAATAAGTAAAAGATCAACTCCCATCCTTCATCTATTTACGATAAAATATATGAATGTCTGCGAAGAAAATCTTATACAAATCAATTGTCACACTATTTCATAGTTTTCTATTGCATGTCGCAGGCAAGTGTTGTCTGACTGTCACTCCTATCCAAATGGAGACAGCTGGGTGGTTCATGATACACAGGGCAGATAGTGGGTAAACCGTTTACACAATTGCAATTGACGCTGTTGGCATCGGCAGGCACGTGTGTATTGAGAGCACCTTTTGCACCGATACTCGCTTCAGCAAAATCGGGATACTGACGAACCATTTCAGCCCAAATGAAAGTGGCATTGCAACTATTGAATGTCAGCCTGCGCACTAATCGAAGCCAAGTGATGTTCATTACCACATCCTTCGCGTAACTGCTATCAGTACTGATGGTACCATGACCAGGCAGGATAATAGGTTTTCGACCACCAAGCTTTACGGTACAGACAGATTCTTGCATGCTACCTGCCCAAGCACAAAGAGCATCATCGCTGCTAGGTAGTTTCTCTGTATCAAAGAAATTGCTAATGAACATATGAGATCGAATGGTAATGGAATCGCCCGTGAAAAGAAAGTAGTTATTTGAGGAAGTAGTCAAGCTGAGTAGACCAGCGTAAGACGATTCACCCTTGATAACATTGCTAATGGTATTGAGTCTCACAGATGGATGATCAAAAATGAGCTGTGTTCGAGGTGAAGTCAGCGTGCGCAACACTTTTGTATAGTCGACAGCGCACTGAGCGGTTGAGTAGATATTGTTCCTACAATATAAATCGATCCATTGGATGGCTTCCTTTATGGCCTGTTGACTAATGAGATAGATCGGTGTCGAAGGGTAGAGCTGCTGTATTAGAGCAATGCTACCGATGTGATCTGGATGACCGTGAGTGATAAAAACGAATTGAGGTGGCTTGCTAGTCGATTGAACTTGTTGTTGATATATGGATATCAATTGGTGGGAGATATCGTTTGATGAGCCTGCATCGACGAAGAATCCTTGGCGAGATATCATGGATGTTACTATGTAAGCATTCGAGTTTTCTTTCGGAGCACTCGTATCTTGTACCTGGGTGATCAATAGTGAATCAAGCGTGATAGTTCCGGTACCACCAGCAAAACTAATCAGTAGAAGTAGAATAATACTTAAAATGAGCATGATCATACTACAAGCGTGAAGCACACTTGACACTCGATCGATTATATAGGATCAAAAAAAAGCATCGTCATAATGAAGTTGCACACTATTGACATTTCAACGGCAAATAAGACTTTCATTGTGCAGGCTCGAAGATTTTGTTGACAGAACGGATTATATTACGAACATCTTTGATGTTTTTGCTTCACTTTTGCATAAATAGTATTAAATCTCTTGTTTGTGAATCCTGCGAACTTAGATTTATCGTCTCAGATTTCAAACAGCAGTAGTAAGCTTCTGACACCTACGTGAGATAACTTGATGTGGCAATCCAGATAGTCATTTTCGTTTGTAGTAAATGATAGAATGGTGAATAAGGATGAAAGTGCTCCAAACAAGCTACGCCGAATTTCGACATTACTAAAAGATCTTATCAGTTAGATTAGATTTGATATAATGATTCAGTGATTTAACAAGAAAATAAAATCTGAAACAGACGAAATTCTGTTCGTCTAAATGCTATGTAATTGTTCAGCTTTAAAGCCTTTTCTTTCCTCACAGATCGGACAGTCAAAACTTCCATTGTAGATCAACGGTGTGTTGTATGGGTATGGGCATTGACTCTCTCATTATGCGTCTCTTTTTGCACACCTACAGCCTCAAGTAGTTGAAGTAGCTGCGAAGTCGACACAAATTGTAGTCAGTTATATGTTTTTCTTGGAATGACTCTAGTAAAATATGATGATGGTTGGTTTGCTCGAATGCATTTTTATCGTCTGATGGTTTTTTACTCAAAATTGTGTCAATCATTTATCGGAGCAAGGTTTGTGTAGTTTGTTTTTGTAGGAACTGATCGAAAGATTTTTCGTATAATTTGGAACCTTTTTGTGTTGTGTCTCTAGGATTATGAGATTATGCACTAACAGAGTTATCTTGAACAAATGTGGATGTTACATGTAAGTAGCTTTATGTTTCGCTTATCGGCCAAAATATGTTTAGAAAAAAGCTGGGTCGTAATGAGACGTACTAGTTTCTCCTGAAATAGTTATGATTATTTAGAAATTGATGGTGTGAGTTGTTTCAGATAAAGATAATTAGCATCTGGCATATAGTTGTAAATTCTAGTTTGTATAAATATATGAAGAGGATTCTTCCTTAGCTTTTCATAATGTTTTCTTCTCGATCGTTTGCCTTATGAATGAGTTTTGTACTGTAGGCTTGTGATATTTAAAGAGTTGTTTATTTTTTATTGAAGTGTGTGAGAAGAAAATATATAATGGCTATGGTACAGTCAATTAAATTTTGTTTGACCATTCTATGGTTGTCTATATGCTTCTTGATATGTATCTTCCTCTTGCATCGTTGCCTAATTTTGAATCAGTCTGATTGTTCTTTTTTTTGTTAATTCTTGTTGTCAATTCATTGTCTTCTGTTGCATGTTCAAGTTGATTTTTCAGATAGCTGTCGTGCGTTTGGCCAACAATAGTTGGGTTTCTAGTTGCTTTATTCTGTATTGAATCTTTTGATTTGCTCAATAATTCATGACTTAAATGTTTGAAATTGTCAGATCTAATGAGTACCCAGGTCGATTTCATCACTTATCGAATTCCTGCATTATATGCTAATAATCTTTTAATATTTATAATAGATTCGATTACTTATATCTATCGTCAATAATTATCTAATTTTATCTGACTTTTGATCAAAGGGAAAAGTGACGCCGGAAGTCTGAACGATGACAAAAGTGGCACTATCAGAAGAAAAAATGTCGAAAACTGTTTTGGAAACTGCTTCATATTTTCTCGTTCGGAAGATAGATGAACTAAACAGCAACACAAAACAAGCTAAAATTTCTTTGAAACGATAGGTTATAGACCTTGAAATAATTTTCCTATTCACATCCACACCTTTACGACATCTTGTACTTTTCAACATTTTGTGAAACACGACCTGAAAGGAGTGTTGAAGTATATAGGGGAGAAATTTGGACCTATCCCCCCCCCCAGACCAGTATAGAGAAATTAACTAATTAGATAATTGGCTAATTAATTAATTAGTTATTTTCTCTGTAACGGTCTGTGATAGTTACTGAATTTTTATATTTCGTTTCAATAGACTGCTCATGTACTATTTATATCATAAATTTCAAAGAAGCCTCTATAGTTTATGCCATATTGTTTACACGAACTTTAAATTATTTGAGTTTGCACAAAAAATACATATGCAGTAATACGAAAAAACCATCTTGGTATACTTCGACAACATTTTTTGCTGAAAATCACATTAGCATATCTTGTAGTATGAACTAATTGTATACTATCTAAGTTGCCTCCATGAGTTTACTTACATCAGCTATATCGTATTTCACACTTTTAATCCCAGAGGGATTGCGCTAACAGCTTTTTTTTTTAAATGAAATTTTGTAATATTTATCGAAAAGGTTTAACATATTGTAATTACATTAAATAAAATAAATCGTGATGATTTATTACAAGTTTTTCAAATATATCCTGATTTTGAAAATTCATTTGCCGAACGATTTCGAGTTACATTTGATCTTTGACAAGTAAAAATAAAACGATTTCATTTTTATATTTGTTTTTGTTTTTGTGCTCTATTAAAAGCAAACAATTGTTATTCATTTGTTTTTTAGTGTGAATTAAATGAATCAAAACCATTTCATAAATTAGATGATGAGATTCAAACATTTATTCGACAACGTCGTCCAAAATTACAAACAGATACACGAATGAGTATATTAAGTCAAGGAGAAGAAGGTAAATTAATAAAAAAACATTCTAGTGAAATGCACTATGAGTATTTTAATGAATAATAGAAAAGTAAATAATGTTTTTATTTTCTAAGATTTTAATATTTCATGAGTTCAATTTTTAAATTCCCTTCCAATTACTATTTCTATCTTATCTCTCTTGTCGTATTAAATCAATTAATAGAAGTATCCTATAACGTAAATGTGTATATCACACTTATAACGGTGGTCCGAGCATATTTTACTACTATATATAATCATAAGATTAATCGATATATATATATATATATCATATTTTTTATATTCATCTGAAAGATAATAGACGGGCTGCGTTACGATCAAATCGTAATGTTCGTATGAGTATTGATCATGGTGCACAGCGATCTAAAACTAGTATTGTGGAATTATCACCTGATCAAGCACATACGTCTGCTGAAGATTTATCAACTGCTCGAGAACCATCACGAGTGTCATTAGCACCTTTATTTCATGGTATAAAAAAAACATTATTACTATGTCAAAGAAGACTAAAAGTAATGTATTGACTGTTGATGAAGAAGAAGAAGGAGAAAGACATGAACACACACAAAAACAAGAACCGGAACAAGAACAAAAGAAATTACCATTAACAACTGAAACAAATTTTGTATCAGAAAAAAACAAAGTAGGAAGTTTTTTTGACGTATTAAACAAATATTTAGAACAATATTTTTGCTCAACAGACTAATGCGAAAATATGAAATAACGCCAGTGAGAAGTATGGCAGATGTTGATGCCGAATTGGCTCTTCTTCAAAGGTAAGATACGATAAAGAAATGTTTAACATTTTAAAATCTTCTTTTTCTTTTTAGACGTTTTGATAGTTTAGAAAGAATTATGGATGATAGAATGAAGCTTTGACTTGATTTTGCGAATAATATTTCAACAAAAAATATAAATAATCTTCAATAGTAGTAATTGAAATATAATAAATAACACAATTGATAATAAAAAGAAATTTTTTTACACAATTAATAAATTAACTTTTGCAAAAGAAATATTAAAACAAATACAATTAGTAAATAAATATAAATCATAGAAGAACAAATTTCTGAATGAAATGCTTATGGGAAATGTTGCTTTCTTAACGAATCGGAATAATACTCTCGTTAAAGAACTAATTAAATATTAGTAAAATTTTATTTAAAAATAAAGATTGTAAGAAGACGTATCAGTTTCAGAACATGATATTGTATTGCTACGCAGTATTATGATCATAAAAGAATGATAATGAATGAGTTTTGTTTTACAGGAAAATAAGAACATCATTATTAACAATACAGATATTATGAATTGAAATACAGAAGTTTATAATAAGCTTAGAATTACAAACAGATATTGAGAGTGTCAGAATCAGATGAGAAATGATGAGGGAAGACTTATCATTTAAACAAAAGAAAAATATTATGGTAATTATATTTGGTGTATGTTACTGGAAGAAATCCTTTAATTAGATTTTCTTTCGCTCTATAGAGACGCAATCATTAACATTAGATTTCAGAAATACTGTGACCATAAACAACGTTTTTCAGTTCAAATTGAATCGATTCATTATATAAAGCCTGAAATACATACAATATAAAAATAGCAACTCAATTTTCACTAACTAAAAATTTCAAAACTTTTATAGCTGATAAAATAATCTATGAACTAGTTTAAAAGGCTTCGAATATTCGAATGTTATTATTATTACTATTACGGTGTTGATAGTATTTAGCACACGAGGGTGTGCGTAAGTTTTTTGTTGTCATGCACATGATCTGTAATTTTCTCTTTTTCTATTGATCTTATATATTTTTTTCGAGGAGATTTACTTGCGTTTCAGACACATTCTCATAGTTTCTTGAACATTGGCATTCAAAAATCTCAAAATTTCTATAGGTATATACGCTTGATATCAAGTGAAGATGTTCGTTGTATTTTCACGTTTCGTGTTGTATAGTAGCCTTCTATGGCAGGCTATTGTAATCAGCAGTACGTAAAGCGTCGTCTTTGGAATATCTGTATAATGAGAAATGTATCATTTACCTTTTCATAAGTTGTCTTAAGCAACGTTTCAGTTATTAAATGCCGCGAACCCGAATTTCGTTATATTAACAATGCATCAGAGTAAATAAATATAAATACTTATAGACAGCTCGATTAACCAAACACTTACTATAGGGGGAAAAAAGTAAAACGCTGCGATATGGGTGTTCCGAATGAAAAAACATCTTCCAATAAAATTCAACCATCATCTGAATTTATTCATGAATCGCTTCATTTTCAAAAACAATCAGTTCGTATACGTCATTATTTTGTATTTTCACTCTTCTCAGGCATATGTTGATGTCCTGCAACAGGCCTTATTGCATTGGCTTATCTATTAAAAAGTTCCGCCAAAGCTGATGTAAACTTCCATGATAAAGTGCAACTTTATTCTCGTCGTTCATTATTTTGGAACATATTTTCCGTTATTCTTGCTATTTCTTCGATTTGTATTGTTCTGATTTACATTCATTATTATAATGACGTCCTCAACTTTTATGGAGGCACAAACGATGCTATGATTGAAAGTTCACGCCCATATCAGATCAATATTCAAATTATTAAAGTCATTCAGTTAGTTCCGAATGGCGAATGGCTCAAAAAGAAAGGAAACTGACAATTCGCCCTCCATACATATATTGTCTTTTTTTTCAATTATATATGTGCTTCATGTTAAAACTTTTCTTAGATGTTCTAAAATATATATTGTACTGAATGACAAAAAAACACGAATAATTAATCATTTTTCAAGCAAATCCCTCAAAGTACGAGAAATTAAATCCAAAATCTACCGTCTCTTACAAATAAAACAATTTGTTCATTATTTTTTTAACAGCACTTCATTACACCTTACAGATCCTCTACACAATTCCTTCTTTCCTTAATGCTTTTCCCTCATCTACAGATTCAAATGTTGATTTTAAAAAAAGTTTCAACTACGAAGTGGGATAGCATACATATGTTTCGATTTACTTAATGACAACTAACTGTGGGGCATCTTAGCTTTTGCATAACAGTACTCAAAGCAGACACAAGTCATTCAATGTATCAAGTTGAATAATATTTCATAATATTTCGAACAATGTTGCTCTGACAAGCCGGTCTTACAACAAGCTCGCGCATTTTCATTATCGCAACATATATTTGATCAGTTTTTTTTAATTTGTCTTTAATGATATCATATTTTTGCTTCTTGCTATATGCCAAATAAAAAAAACAGTGTCGATTGAACAGCGTAGAAAACAAAAAAATATTAGATGACAATATTGGCACATAAAAACTGATGATACAGATTTTTAAAATGATCTATTTTTTTTTAACCAAATATATCAAGATCGCCCATATCATCATCATCGCATTCTGGTGCAGCTGGTTGTATGCCGAGTATGGCTGGCTTTGTGTCAAGTATGACTGGTTTCATGTCAAGTATGGCTGGTTCAAAGCATGGACCTGAATCATAAACTTGACGAATTATAAGACCATAACTAAACGGGGAAATCTTCAACATATTAAGTAATGCAGCTTCACTAGCACCAACTTTTTCACCAATTTTAATTAAATGAACATCATTAATGATTTCAATTGTACCACGTGTAATTTTTGTTGGAATTTGAAGTGCTTGAAAAAAACTTGTTCTTTCTGGACCTAAACTTGTTACTTGTGCTGGAATAGTGACATCAACAGGTGCAATAGCACCGGCACGAGCTGGAGCAGCAACCTTATTTTCTAAAAGTTTGTCTCGAATTGAACTTATATCGTCTTTCGTAAAAACAAAACCAACATTCTCATGTACATCCGCTAACAATTTTTCTAAACTGGAATTTTTCGATGCTTGTTCTCGGATTGCTTTACGCATCATTGTATTTCTTCCCATTAGAATAACAGCATGACCACGAAGAGATACACGAATCTTTTGCATTTGACATGAACCAACATTATCAGCACCAACCACGAGTACTTTCGGGTATTCATCCAAATATTGCGTTAGACGCATTACATACTTGGCTTTCCATGTTGAACGATCTTCTTTCACCATTTTGGTTTTTTAAACAACTTTACCAGATCTTTCTGTCTCTTGATAAGTGGCAATAAGTAATTTTTCTCCATACTATGGAGAACACGATATTTATATTCTCTCTACACATAACGAGTACAGATATGTTATCAACACGTCATGAGTTGCATAATTCGGATTACATTACAAGTGACGCTCAAATTGCACAAGATGAAATCGAAAATAACAAAAAGAAATTCTGAATTATAAATTACTGAATGAGGGAGGTTCAGATTTCTGCAACTTATAATTAACGATACATGAAATTTCTGAATAGAAGTAGCTTATCCTTATGAAAGATTGTTGTTGATTGCAAAAAGGTGCAAATAAGTTTTCTTAATACAAGTAGACTATTCGTATAGAATATTTTGTCTAATGGAAGCATATAAATGTTTTCAAGAGTAAACGATGAAAAGCTTTCGAATGTACCATCTTTCTGTACTGAGATGTGAAATTCACAAATTGGAAAAATCCGAAATATATAAATTATTAGACGCCACAATTATTTCTAAAGTTGATACATGCGCTCTGAAAGTTTATAATTTCAGAAGTTTTCATATTTAAAATTACTGTTTTAGTAATTGATTTGAAGCATCTAATGTCATTATACTGAAAAAAATTCTTTATGCCATAAGATAGATTTCCTAAGTCTAATTTCCTTTTTTCTAATGGTAATATATATTTCGCATGCTATTTTAAACGGAAAACGTGAATCTATTCTTCATTTTATTGATTTAACTATACTACCACTATCAGGGCTCCGGATGGGATGAATTTCTTATCCCATGGCATTTTCTTAGTTTTTTCTCATGAGAAACTAGTGTCTTTCTGGTTGAAACAATGGATTCAAAATACTTTACAAGAATAATAAGTCGTAATATTTCTTGTATTTCCATTGTTGGTCTTCTTCAATAAAAATTATTTTGTTTCTTAGTTTCTTGTTGTATCCTTTCGTGCCAAAACTTGTAATATTTTTATTGAAATTTAAAGCGCTCCCTAAAATTAAACTTAGAAAATCTGCGTGCTTTAAGTTCATCAAATTTGTTGATATCCCCCGTCATAACTATTGATTACGTGGATAAGAAGCCGTATCCATGAGGACTATAAATTACTTCAACTTCAAATGACCATCCAACATAAATTTAAAATACTTTTAGTTGAAAGAAAAATAAATGAATATTCAGAAAACTTTGATGAGTTTTACTGGGCCTCAGCAACTACAGAAATCATCAGCCAACTGAGAGCAAAAATAGTCTACTGAATTGCACCAAAAAAGGATGGGTCTTAAGCAATCTTTAAAATGCACTACAAAAGCTTGTTAGAGCAGCCCCGTTGGGGCTAAAATGTGGAACTCACATATATCCCTTCGGCTTACTAAAATAATTCAAAATAATTCATCTGAAAAACTACCCTGATTTTCAAAACCTATAATTAGATCACTGCCTATTTGCACTTATGTCTTTAATTGAGTATTAATTGTTAGCTCGTATATTTAACAATGGCAGAGGCTAGTTACTATGGTTTGCATTGGCACCCTAAGCTAGTTACTATGGTCTGTAATGGTACCCTAAGCTAGTTACTATGGTCTGTAATGGGCAAGCATAGCTTTTTCGTGTAGTCTGTAATTAAAAAGGGAAGAAATAGCAGCCTAATTAGTCAAGCTTCTAATTAGCACAATTTTA